CGAAGCGCGTCCTTCTTCAACGCCACGACGTTTATTTCTCAGTTTTTTAATCGCGCTGTTCCGCTTGATCTATTCGTTCGGGAATGCTCTGGAGTCGCCCGATCGCGCTCTCTACGTTAATCTTGTTCGTCCCAGCGGTACCGATCTTCGGCGTGGCCACGCGTCGTAAGATTATCCGATTCGAGAGGAACGAGTCGTAACTCACCGCCGCTATCTCGCCATTAAACTCTTCAATCGCGACGGGTCCTTTTCAATCTCATCGGTCACGACGTTTCTGAGCCGTTGGATCGCGCCCTACACGTATGTCTTGTTTGTCGCATCGGAATCATTCTCCGGTGCGGCTACATCGTGTATCTTGATTTCTCGCGCGTGGAAAAAGCCCATAAACTAACGAAGCGCGTCCTTCTTTAACGCCACGACGTTTATTTCTCAGTTCTTCAATCGCGCTGTTGCGCTTGATCTATTCGTTCGGGAAAGCTCTGCAGTCGCCCGATCGCGCTCTCCACGTTAATCTTGTTCGTCCCAGCGGTACCGATCTTCGGCGTGGCCACGCGTCGTAAGATTATTTGATTCGAGAGGAGCGAGTCGTAACTCACCGCCGCGCCCTACATCCAATTTTTTCTGGTGTCGCGACCACCAGTTAAATATTTTTAATACATTTTGTAATGCGCAATTCTTAACATGTTTTTCGCATTTTACAGTATTAGTAACATCTGGATTATTTAAAGATTTGATATCTTCGTAATTTGCATCTAAAGTCTCAATTTTTAGATGTTTTCTCGCTTTATTCTCAAGCAGATCCACCAGCCATTCTCGTTTCTGGCATCCCTTGACGTACACAAGAGTCGATGTCTCGTCGCCCTCTCCAAGTACGGCCGATGATATTAGATGTTTCTCCATGCTGTAGGACACATTTCCATCCTCCCATCGTAGTCTATGGTAATTCGCAATCAACCAGGAAGCGCATGATCTGTCGGAGTCGTGAGGAGACTCCATGGCATGGGACATGTAAAAATGTAATGCGCCAAAACGGTCCCGTTTCTCAGAACCGCCACCTTCTTTACGACAAATTTCATCCCGACGGTGAATCCTTGCAGATCGACAAACGTCGGTACGATCATGACGAAACGACGGAGCAATCTGTATCTTATCGCGGTACATTAGTGTTTCTTATATCGCAATATCTGCTTATATTGCAATATCTGCTGATATTGCAATTTACATGAGTTTGCGCACTACATTAGACAGCGGGCAGTATTTGATTACGCGATCATGCAAGATGAGACAATAGGCGGTAGTATTTGCAGGTACATTTTCTTTACAATCAAATTCTATTCGCACATCCACGGTGGCGCTCTTGACAGATTCGTTTTGTCGCGAGCAATCAATGACAACAAAAGGTCTTTCCACCAGGAATGTATACAAGCTGCAAAGCGTATCGAAGGAATCGTATCCGTAATAAGTTTTACGAAAACGCGCATACATATCGAAAAGAACGGCGTATCGATTTTTACCAAAATCTAGATTCATGTCATCGTACGGATAAAATTCAGAGTTTAGATAAAGTTTCACGTTGGTCAAATTACAATCATCGAATACGCTAACATTTTGAGACATGATATTCTTGCGGCCGGTCTGCAGCGCAAAGATAACGTACCGCGGTTTCTCTAGCTGAGTCGCCGTTTTGACGGCCCACGAATGCTTGGTCGTGCTCTGCAACATGGGATACTCATACAGATCCCACGAACGAAAACTGACACTAAGATATCGCCCGCTTTCCAAGGCCCGTAGCATAGATAGCTTATTGACCTCGTTTAATGTAACGTGAGGCATTCGCCACTGTATTTTAAACAATTCGATTTCCGGCTCCGTCGCAGGATTTCCTACAATGCAATTGTTATCGCTACGCGCTCGTATCAAAATTAATTCGTGACGAGCGTTAACAACCACGCGTTTGTAATCTTCGCAAAAGCCCAGCAACAACTTGAGCGGTACGCAAAAGTTGAAGTATCCTTCCGGTATGCTCGATGTAACGTCCCAGCCAGCATTCCGCATGAGTTGAGAATCATTATACGATAGCGATACGTAGTTCTTGATGGTGCTGGTTATGCCAACGTTTCTGTTGCGATCAATCTCCACACCGTTGAGCTCGTATCGAATTTCATCAAACATAAACGCCACGCAATTATTCGCAAGCGTTGTCACAGACTCGTCATTTTTTCTCTTTATTACCAATCGTCCTTCAACGTAGAGAAAGCTCTCGCACGGCAACGTGTATAAATCCTGCTGTTGTATGGGTATTCTTATCTCATCGTTATGTCCAAACGTTGTGTTGGCGTACGGATTGTACGTGTGTGTCTCAATCTTGACGACGCTATCGTCAAAGATCGGTTCACCTCCAATGTTTAAGATATTAGCCATTTCGTACGACGAAACCCAATGATTTCGGTCCTGTGAACTTGGCACACCATACCTAAAAATCTCAAAGTTTTTTTAGAGTTCTGACTTTCTTTTGAATAGTTCTAGAGTTCTATATAAGCATTTTAAATAGTTCCGATAATTAAATAAAATAAAATCGAATTTGAAAATATGGTGCGCTAAGTTCACGCAGCGCACCAAATCATGAAAATCAATTATTTCTTCGGAGTTCTAGTTTGTTTTACAATAGTTCTACAGTTCTATATCAAATATATCAATAGTTCTAGCAATTAGAAGCAAAAAATTGATTTTTGAAAATCCAGTGCCCAAATTGTAACACCTGTCTAAGAAAGATAACAGTTCCGACCGGATCGTATTTTTTCGACTTTTCCACATAGTTTTGCAAAAAATTTTAATCACTTACCAGTAATGCAATTATTTCAAAAATAAAAACCATATTTAACATATAAGAAATTTTCAAGAAAACCGCATTTACGGGTTTTTAGGTGAGGCGCTGGCCGATTTTCGACAGTTCTGTAAATTTTATGATAATTATCTTGTAGATTTGAACGTATTCCAACATTTTCCGAAGTTCTATTGATAAAAATTATGTGAATATTTTTTAAATAATTTTTTGTCCCGAGAAAGCCGCATTTACGAGTTTCTAGGTGAGGCGCTGGCCAATTTTCGACAGTTCTGTGAATTTTATGATAATTATCTTGTAGATTTGAACGTATTCCAACATTTTCCGAAGAGTTCTATTGATAAAAATTATGTGAATATTTTTTAAATAATTTTTGTCCGGAGAAAGCCGCACTTACGCCGCGAGTTTCTAGGTGAGGCGCTGGCCGATTTTCGACAGTTCTGTGAATTTTATGATAATTATCTTGTAGTTTTG